TCTCTCTCTCTCTCTCTCTTTGTGCGTGTGCAAGCGTGTCTGCGTGCACGTGTGGGTGAGTTTCTGTCCAAGACACGACGAGCTCTGAAACTGTCACTCTTCGGTTTGGCCACGAGCACGCTGACTCCCGCCTGCGAGATGATGCGAACACTGCGGAGAAGATTCCGCGGGAGCGCGAGGTGAGGCAAAGCTGTTGGAATACTGAGACTTGGGAGAATCGTCCACTGAGGCATGGCGACGGCTTCTGGCCCGGGTGGCACAACTGCCGCCGGCCTACAGCCACGAGTACTCTGCAGAAAGGTGCGTGCACCTGAGCATTGCTGAGGCGCGGATACCCGAAAGCTTTTGCGTTGCTGCAGGCAGGGAGATCCTTCCCACCCAAGCCAATCTCGAATTCCGCGCCTGTCAGGAGAAGCACGCCGAGTTGCCAGCGCCCGAGAATACACAACACTGAAAGCGGACTGGAATTTGAGAGAGGAAAAGAGAGAAGAGCCGGAAGCATTGGGCAAGCCGCAACAGAGGGCTCCACGAGATAGAGGGAGCCGGACAAACGGATCTCTTTTGTATGCGTCCCACATTTACCTACAACCTTGCACAGCGCTACAGTGCCACAGTTCTCACACCGAAGATTCGCTTTTCTCTGCCATGGCGCTGCCGGCGCTCCTGCAGTGTTCGGGGCAGATAGGCTCCGGGCCAAGCTGGGCGGAGGTGAGGGGCAACCTGCCGCAGACTCGGAAATTCAGAGCCAAGAAATCCTACCAGTAGATGTCACGCCCCTCTTAGGTCCTTCTACACTGCCATGAACCTCGCCTCAAGACGCTCTGAGTGAGTAAGCGTGGGTTGGCGTGCTTTGAGAAGCTGGTTTCGGAACCAGAAAGATGCTTCACGCTTGGAAAGGAGACATCACTGTGGACACGCAGTCCCCGCGATACTGGGAGCTCCTAGATGTATGGAGGCACGACTACAGAACTGACCACCCCATGACTCTATGAGGAGATGGGTTCAGCATCACTTCTTTTGCTGTCTATACAGGAAGATTGACGGTGATCCTGTCCTGTCGCAGCAAGCATCGCGCCTCGCGGCAATTTCAGGCATGCCCTTGACCTTTGGAATGTTGCAATGCCGGTCTAAGGAGCCAGTGCCCTGTGGGCTACCTGACCTTGAAACTTCTCGGCTTCGTCTCCCTACGAGCCGCTCGTCGATTCGAGAGTCCGGAGAGCCCGGCGCAATTGGTCCCAATCTCGCACCAAGGCCGAGGTGATACTGGAGGAGCTCCTCAAGCTCGAAGGCACGATTGCAAGAGGACTTCTGCGGTTGAGAGTACGCGAATCGCGTTGTCGAGTGAGGGGTGATGATCCACCCGATCTTGCGATGCCTGGCCTCCACCCTGGACTGGCACAAAGTGGCCGACCTGGGATGGCCGCTGTTCCGGCTGCTGGCCCGGGTCGAGCCCCTCGCCCGCGCTCTTGAACTGCTGTTGCACCACGGTATAAAGACCGTAAAGCCTGATCTTCTTATTTTCTGTCAGGAGTCCTGCTCACGAAGAGCTTGGGATGACAAACCCTTTGAACACCTGGTCCGAAGCAAACTGGTTGAGCGATGCTTGCGCAGAATGGACAGTCTGGCGATTTCTTGCTTCGTTGCTGTTGCTGAACCACTCATCGGCGTGCATGCTTCTGCAAGGAAATGCCATACTTGGAGCTGGTGCAAAGACACCTCGATGAAGGCATCGCAGTCCCAGCAGCTGCACCTTCGCTCGCATGGCATAGGCATAGACGATCCACCAAAGTAGTTTTGCGTCGGACAGCTCACGGAAAGTTTTGAGCTCAGGCAAGCGGCCTGTTGCTGTCCTACCCAGATCGGATTTCTCCCTACAGCCGTGCCACCGCGCTGCTCGCACTGGCCGAGGCAAGCGGCCACTTTGCTCTCGTTGAAAAAAAGAAGAAGAGTTGCTCATCATAGTGCCGCTATATTTGCATATATGGCATATATGTTGCTGTGGGCTGCAGGTGCTTCGGCCTCCACGAGTAGCCCCAGATCTGGTTGGAGAGGCGGTGCCGCTGCCCGCACTGTGGAGACCGACTGCTGCAACATTTTCCAATGTTTTTATTTGGTGAAGAGTGTAAGGAGCGGTTGATTCGGCGGGCAGTGTACATTTTGACTGATGCCTGGTGGCACGTTCTGCATGCATCACGTCACAGTCTGCATGTCGGCAAAATCCAGGAAGACTTTTTGGCACTGAAGTACCCGCCATTGGTGCCCCTGACCTCCCGTTGGCCGCTCGGATGCAAGTCGGCTTGTAGCATCTCGTAGCTCGAGAGCTGGGGACTGCTTCAGGCCCATCTTCCAACTCGCGGACCGACTAGCTTGCAAGGCGACGGGGTGCAGCCGGTTTCAGCGAGGGTGTCAGGTTGTTCCCGAGCCCATCCTGGAGAATTCATGCAAAGCCTGTCTCGAGGGCGAAGTTCGCTGGAATCTCCCCTCACAAGCAGCCCGAAGCAGACCGCGCGTCGCGGTGCTGCCGATGCCAGAGAAGGACTGATCCTCGGTTCTCTGCTGTAGCCTGGTGAGTCTAGTTAGTCCCAGTCGCGCATATCCAGTTTGGGGGGCAGGTCTCTGATGTCGTCCGCTCCTGCAGCCTGCCCTACTGTGACCTGAACTTCTTCGAGCTGGTGTTACGGGCTGTGGCCGCATCAGACGCAGGGCGGCAGGAGTCAGCACTTTTCGTGTTTTATTTCTTGTGTCATACAGTCTTCTGAGCTCTCAAAAGCTCTGGATGGTCAGGCACGGAAAAAGCTGCATCTCGTCGAGGTCGGCGCAAACCTTGGTGACTGCACCTTTTGGGTGGCAGCGCACCTGGGCAGGCCCTGAACAGCCAGTTGTGAGCTCTTTCTCAAGTCTCTGGCACTGCACTGCTCTCCCTGAGGCGCCTCACGTCTGCCACAGCAGTCGAGCCTGTGCCGAGTGCAGCAGCGGCCGTCCGACGAAGTGTCACGATTAACGGCTGGGATTTCATCCAGGCCTCCTGTGCGTGATCCCCATGTCTCATGTACTGAATGTACTTTGTCCGATGTGTATCGGAAGAGACTGATGCTTCTTGGTCTGGAGAGGTTGTGCAAGCAGTCGCCGGTGCCAAAGCCGGACAGGGCTCTATGCACTTCCTTGCACACAGTGCTGGAAATCCCTATGCGAGTGCTTCTGCCTGGTACCGAGTTTTCCTTTGCTTCCCCAGCCTATGAGCAACATGCGCATACTTGGGCTACAGCTGCAGGCGGTTGCTTTACGAAACGTCGAGACACCGTCAGTACCTGCACGGATGACGACTGTGGCGCGCCTGTTGTCCTCGCAGCCGCGACCTGGAACGGCACGGCTGCTCAAGCTGTACGCCTACGCTGACCTCCTGGACACTCTGAATTGGAAGGGATGTGTTGGAGGAGTAAGTCCAGTGTATCTCTCCAGTTTGTGCAGGCGTTACTTCTCTTCGCTCTGCATTCTTGTCCTGGCAAACTGGTTCCTGTCAGTTTCCCTCGCTCTCGTTTTGGAGTTGCCGGACTCGCCTAGCATGTTCGCTTTAACACGAAAGGATCTCGCTCTTTTCTCTCGCGCGGAGCAGACCTGCATGCTGCTCGTACCAGATTTCCCAGCCAACCTCGCATCTGTACATGACAGCAGGCTTGAAGCTGACTTGGCAAGCGTTTCCTGCCTGGCAGCTGGCAGGATGTGCTGAAGGGAGCAAGGTCGGCGGCAAGAAAGGTGGATGCTGTGTGGCTAGCATTTGCAGCGGGGCTTTTGCCCCGAGCGCGGTCGGCAGCGGCCTGGATCTTAGCTTTGGCTGCCGAACCCCGGAACCACACCGCAGTCGTCGCTTTCTTTCCTCAAAAGGTGGCCATGTTTGCATTTTTCTACCGCCAGGCAGGGAATCATTCGTGGGAGTGTGACGGGGTCCTTACTCACTGCAGCGCAGGGCTTTCGAGTGGCGTTGCCAAGCTTTGAGGCAGGCTGGTCTTGCCAAGTCTTGGCCCTGCGAGAGAGCAATGCAGGTCGACTGGTGCAGAAGTTGGCGGCCGCGATGGGTAGCGGAGCAAAAGCGACCCAGCGCATTTGTGTGCCAATTCTCACGATCGCAATAAAGCTCTACACCCGTGAGGATGCGGCAATGGCTTGCCGCCACGCAGACCAGCAGAATCTTGGACCGATGTTCGTGCCCGGTCAGGGAACAAGGTTCAGCGATAGATCTTGGCGGATCATTCGTAGATTCAGTCAGGAAGTGCACATTCCATGGTCTATGTGGTGGCGTTCCGGCCGCGGGTGCTTCACTGCAAGCCTTGGCAAAGCTTCAAGCAGCATGCACCCGCCTCGTGCACTGGTGCCGTTGCTAGAAGTCACGAAAAGCCTTCTGTGCGGTTTGTCGTGAGGCAGATGAAACCCGAGTTTGGGATCGTGCCGGCATTGCGCAAGGCTGCTTTTTCGGTCAGGCACCCAGAACTAGAACTAACTCGCTCACTGGCACCTTCAATTCTGATCTACCGTCCGGTGCTAGGGCGCTCTCGGCGGCAGCTGCTTATGGCTGTTTCCTCAGCACTGCACATTTGCAGCAGTGACACGGTATTGGGAGTTTTGTAGTTCAGGCAAAACGGCACGGTGCAACCTATGCGCCGCTTGGCTGCGTCTCTTTCTTCAGGCCCAAGGCTTGTGTCTCGAAAGCTCTGCCGAGGTCTTACTTCCTCGGTGACGAAGAACTCGAGCTGGAGCAGCAGATCAGAGGAAAAAAGTGAGAGCAAGGTTCTCCTCTTCGCACTGTTGCCCCGGGTTACAAAGGCCTTGTGTTTCGACCACGGCTTACAGCATGCCGACAAAGGCTTTCAAGCATACCCCCGAGGCTTGACTTCTTCCACGACTCTGATGGCTGCCTGCCCCAGCATGCTAATTCTCTTTCCCGGTTTCGAGGCTCGGCATGTACTACTCAAGCTTTTCCAGGTGACATCCACCCGCCTCAGCTGCCATTCGAAGACGATGACCGCGCTCAGCGCTGGTGCACTCCTTACACGGGATTGCGCCAACCTGCGAGGCACAGCATATCTTTCAACATGCGCTGGCCTGTGACGCCTTCGCAATGCCAGCAGATAAAACATGACTCCGCGTCGTGAACCGAGGTTCCATCGAAAATTGAAGAGCAAAGGCCGTCCTGGTTTCGAGTAAGGCGTCAGCAGTGGATCTTAGATCGATGTCAGATGGAAGCAAGATTCGGGCGAAGCTTTGCAACAAGCTCGTGGTGCTCCTAGAGTCCTAGAGTCTTATTCAGTGCATTTCTCTGTTGCGCTACTTTGCTTGGCGCACCTTTTTTCGGACACCTGTTCTTGATCAGCTAGCTGCTAGCTGTCGAGCTGAATATCAAGGCGCTGCAGCTGCAGGCCATGGGCCACGACCTGATAGGCACTCTGCTTGCACTCCGGTTCGCGCATCCAACTTCAAGAGATTCTTGCCTTGGGAGGGCGCGACGCTATCGAGCGCGTTTCTGAAGCTCTAACGTGTTGACCTGAGCTCTTGGATGTAGAGCTCTCACTTCTTTTGCTGTTGCTGTTGGTAGTGGTAGAGTGCAAGCTTCGGCTTTAAAGCAACAACGAGCCGTCATGACCAGGCAGGGCACTGCAGAGGAGGGCCCTCTCGTCTGCAGCATGCTGGCGAAGGACACCATTTTACTCTTCCCACGGTTGCAGGCGGTATGCATCAGAAGCACTCTTCCCTTCAGCAACCCTTGAAAAACTGATGTTATGGTAATGGTACATGATTGTGCTCTTGGATGAGTGGGTAGGCACGAAATCTGTCCGGGTCATGTGAAGCCTTTAGTCGTTGTTGGAGCTTCCTTGCACTGTCTCTGCAGGAGCTGGAGGGCACACGCTTTGATCACCATTGGGTTTCCCAGGACGGAAAAGGCAGTAGCCTCACACGTGCGTAGGCTTTCAGAATTGATGCCTGAATCTCGGTTTCTGGACGAGGTCGCTACCGCCTGGGCGAGGCAAGGTGCTCTTGTGGGTTCCTGTCGAGTGTTACCCCAAAGTTCCGCAAGACCAGATGTCGGGCATCGGCTCTGCTTCAGGACGGCATGAAAGTGGCCGTACAGGCATGACATGACCGTTCAGAATCAGCAGCGCGGCCACTAAGAAAAACTCGATGGGGAGGTGCTGGATGGTAAACTTCTGATTCATGGCTACTTCGAAGGCCCGAATAGCACGCGTCTGTTTTCAACCCGGCCTTAGAGCACTTGCAGGTTCCTTGGTCCATCCTGTCCGTATTCCAATCCTTGCTTTTCTGACGGAGCATGGCCGGCTTCCCAGATGCTCTTTGGGACTCTCGGACGTCGAGCGTGATCAGAGACACTGTGAGGTAAAACCTCAGAGAAACAGCCCGAAGATGACTGTGATCTCTTCGGTGTTTCCGGCTTGTGTTGTGGACCGCTGGGAGCATTTTCGCGACCTTAGCAGGGGTGCTGAGCGGAGCCATCGTCAGGTCAAGCTGCACCCGCAACAGGTGAGAAGGATCGCTTGAGAGCATCTTAGAACTTGGCCGACACTCATTCAGAATGGTTTGACGGGTGTCTGCTTAGCTCGCGAGGAGGGAGGGCAGATACGGCTGCGCTCCCGCTCACGGAGCCCACGACCAAGCAAGGCTCGACTTTGTCTCTTCCCTCAACCAGGAGTCCAGGAGAGGAAGCGGTTCTGAGGATTTGATGGAGAGACTGCGGTAACCGTAAGAGATTATTCCCATTTTAGTTCCTGTGTTTTTCCAAATACTGACTTTGCTATGCTTTGCTATGTTTTCCACCGTTTTCCATCATTCTGCCGAAATTTGGTGGAAGGGCCAGGACACAGGCCGGGCGACAATCATGGAATTCGCTCCACGAGTAGGGCCTTAGGCCTTACTTAGGCCATATTCATGTATATGTTTGAATTGTTTTAGTCATCCTTCTGCATCGGAAAAGTGCGAGGGTAAAGACCATGGTTTCGGAAAAGTTGAAAATCATCAGGAAATACCCTCCGGGGTGCTGGGTCTGGGCAGGGGGGTGTGGGGGTAGTTACGCTCAGTTACACAGTCTGCAAGCCCGAACTTGAGCCCAAACTCTGCAAGCCCAAATCCTGACCCTGAGCGCCCTCAACACTGTGGCCTGCCTGTTGTGGATTCAGGTCCCTGTCTTCGGTAAATAATTGAACCCTTGAACTCCAACTTCCTGCCGGCTCTAGACGAACCCCAAAGCCTCAACACCGCAAAATTCAGCCGAAAGCCTGTAGCCTGAACCCCCAAAGCAAGACACTGCAGCCTGAACCCTCAAGCCTTCAAACTTAAAGCCATCTTGTAACCCCAAACCCGAGACAGTGCAAGCCCGAACATCTTGAAATGAGACCTAAGCCAAAAAGCTATCCCCCATGAAAACAACAAATGCGCCCAAAAGTAGAGGCCTTTCAGCTCGCCTATTTAAACTACACACAAAACACCGACAGCGCGACACCGTGCTGGAATGTGCGAGCCCAAATATCTTGTACCAGTAGCTGTTAAAGCAAAACCAGTATCCCTCAAGACGAAGACACGCGCGCGCGCGCAACAGCCTGGAGAACACGCGCATTTTCAAGCTAATGATTAAGTTGTACTGGCAACGAAGTCTACAGGCAGCAAATCCAAAATGAGCGTTTTCGCTAAGCGAAGCGCGCTTTTGAATTCAAAACAAGGGACAGTGTAAGCATCGGTTTGTTTCTTTCCATCAGGGCCCGGAAAGGCCGCTACCTGGACCAATCTCCGACTCGAATGATAAACGGATACCAAAAACGGTGCAAAAAACAATATACGGATTCCAGGATGAATTAAACGATGACAATAACCGACGCAAAATCAACGACAACACGAAGATGAAACGGACAGTACATGTTGGTACATTTATAGCCTGTGGATGCCAACGAATCCCACAACGTTCGGCGAAGCTGTGTCCGACACTTGGACCACCAGACCGGATAAGTTGGACAGTCACCTCTTGCAGGTCAGTCTTGACCTCTAAAGCCGATCTTCTTACCTTACGTGCTGTTCCACCCCACCAATTTAGGCAGGCGAACGATGAGAAGATTGATGAAGAGTCAGGTGTCCGAACGCTTAAAGCAGGAAGAACATTGCTGACCGTTTAGAGCTCTGTCAACAGACTCTTCTTGGTGTGGAGAAGAGGTGCAGGAACCCTCAGCGCCGCAGAGTGGGCCATTGCCATTGCCACTGGGATGGGTGTCAGACCAAGCTGCCGAATGTGATTGCAAGTATGGTTGTATTTGGCGCCGTGTCAGGTCAAGAAGGAGTCGCGTTCAAAGCCCGGCGTTTTCTACTACGCCAACGAGGTGGGGCTTGCTTGCAGAGGGCTGAGCGGCTATAGCCCACTTCCTTCTGTGCTGCATGTGGTGCAGGCGAAGGGGCTAACGCAATTCGAGCGGCCGACCTCGTAAGATCTCGTAGACGCAGGAGCAAAAGATTGAACCTGCATTGCCCTTTGCTGCACACAAGTTCATCGCCAGCCCCTTCGAAAGCTCGTTATGTCGTTGCTCCCGGGACTTCGAAGCTCAGAAGCAGGTAACAGCGGCTCAATTCCAGCGTGAGATATGCGAGAAGCCACCACAGAGACTCAGAGACCCAGACCTCAATCAGCTGCACGTCCCGTCTCCCCGGCCCCCCGCTTCAGCGCATGAAAGAACCGGTGCTCCCTTGCCTGAAGCGTGGCCTTCGAGGTGGCGGCGCGAAGCTTTTGAGCTTTTGAGATAGGGATCTTCTTGGCTTGCAGTGTAAGTGACAGGCAGATGGCCGAATGGTGGCAGAACTGGAGGGCGCCACAGACCTGGTGGATTTGACTGGAAGGGTGAAGGAGGTGGAGCGATGTCCGAAGAGCTGGTTCAGCCTAAGACCGCGTCATCCGACAGGTGTTTGGGCGCTACCGGGCAGATGATAGACGTAGCTTTCTGACGAGGTCTGATCTTTGGATTCGTCGGCTTGTGAACTCAGACTGTGAGCTTTGGATGTGCGGCTTGATTGAAGGCCAGAGATGCAAAGAATGCTGAACGACCTGATGCCAAATACAAGCCTTGTGGCTGCACACAGCAACACATCGGACGATTCATCGATGTCACAGCGATCTGGGGGTTTGTCGGCTCGACGCGACAGGCTACAAGCTCTTAGACAAGCTGTTGAAGGAGATCGATGGCGACGGCGCAGACGGCAAGTTTACCACCCCTGAGTTCGTGGATTGGTTTCCTGGCTCAGAAAATGCCAAGAGCTCAGCGCTACTAGGCTATGACCCGATGAGACTCCGAGGCTGGTTGGAAAGGCGGGGCTTTCAAGACAAGCCCAGCGGGTTGTACTCCGAGCGATTGTCGAAGCCACCGGCGATTCCTTGGGAGCGAGGGTCATGGAGACTCTCGGCGTTCAAAGATGTCCGGAGACTGAGAAGACGGGAGCCTGAACCTCTGAGGATGTTCGATCGGTACGACCTGGATGGCAGTTGCTTCTTAGAGAGGCACGAGCTGATGAAGGTGCTGCGGGTTTTGGATTCTGAGATCACCACTGCGGAGATCCAGTGCCCAAGCTGCACATAGCCAGAGCGCAGGCTGACAATCTCCGAAGCTTTGGTCGGTGTTTGTAGCTCGCGGTCTGACCTTGCAAGATTCCTGGAAGGAGAGTCTTGGAAGAGCTCGACACCAGTGGCGACGGAAGGGCGCGGGCATGCAGAGCTGTCGAACCTTGTGCATGGAGACTCCTTGTCATGAAGAGTCCAAAACCTGGACCGAAGCAATACAGGTGTCCTACAAGGAATTCCTCGCCTGGCTCCACATCGGCGGTTCGCTGGCCCGTGGCGGGGCCGAAAAGCATGGACCAGCAGAAGCTGGGCAACAATGGGCAACACCAGGCCTTCCGTGTGTTGCCGCAAGGAAAGCTCTCGAGCAAGCTGAAGCAGGTTACAGGCCTCTTGGGAAGCATTCGATGGGCATTTGATGGGCTTCTGAATGTCTGTGCTCATGGAGTCCAGGTCCTGTGAGAGAGAAGAGGGTCAAAGACGCTTTCAACTTGCAGCGGGCCGAGCCTGCCCGAGCCGCGCCCCAGTGTTTTGACTACAGCTGACATGTTGACATATCTTCGACAAGGTACGACGTCAGTGGAGATGGGTTCCTGGACATCTCTGAGCTGCGGAATGCCATGGGCAAGATGTTCCTCTTCAACCAGGATGCCTCTTACCGGCCATTCTGTGCCTGCCATCGCAAGCCTCTGCATGATGCCCTGCAGGAAGAGGTGAACAAGATCTGTGCAGACCTGGACACCAGTAATGCTTTTTGTCTGCAAAGAGCATGTTTATGTTGCGCTACCGGGGCTGCAACGGCATGCCCTGGTGCCGCTCAGGACGGCGTAATCTCATACAAGGATGCCGACAGCTTCCATTGCTCTTTCTTCAAGGGCAGGCCAGCGGCCAGCATTCCCCTGTTGTCGGATGCATGGCAGGAGTTTTCAATCTGGATGCGGAAGGGGTCCACTTCCAAGGAGGTACTCAAAGGAAAGACCATCCTGGCTCCGGTGCCACGGCCAGCAAGCATTAATCATTAATCGTGGAAAGATGCGTGTTGCCCTGTGCGGTTGGGACTCGCGGGCGTCTCTGTGTTGGCGTGTGTCGAATCCCCCTTCCGAGATCGACAGTGATGGCTTGGATGCGGTGTTCTATGTCTTCTGTGGACCTGGAAAAACCGCTCCCTGGACGGAGAAAGCATGATTACCACAGTAGTTACTATCTCCAGGAACAGCTGCGCTTCGCTCAGGAAATGGAGATGAAGGATTTCGTAAAGTTCTGCAAAAACTGCAAGTTTGTTGACTCGACGTTGCCTCCAGCTGTGGCAGATGCTTGGCAGCATTTGGCAGCCCTTCATCACTTAGTCCATCGGGGTGCAAGAGGTGACAGGGAGGCAGACGGGGTAGGTCTCGCGGCCTGCCGCGACCAAAGCCGATCACCAGAGTTGTTATTTAGATCTATTTAAGGACAACGTCGAGTCAGCTTGCGCGCTCAAGCCAAGCTCGGTGATGTAGGCTTTGTTCCGGTTCCGTTTTCGGTTGTGAGCCATCTTTTCTCTTGTTTCAGCCTCAACGAGATGTCACAGTTTCAGCTTTTTTGGCGGCTGCGGTCTTCTGTTAAGGAGCTGGTCTTCAACGACCACCGGGTGAAGCCGCATGGGCGACGCACCATCGCAGCTTGATCTCAGTTGGAGATGGTCGCACATTTTTTCAAGATTTGAGAACAGTCGTCGTTAATTCGCTGGGTCCCGGAAAGGACTTCTTCGAGTTCGCGGTTGCCTTGGAGCTGCTGGCCGAGCGCAGGAACGCCAAGGTACCTTCATTGTAAAGCTTGCGGGTTCCAAATGGCATGTTGGTCTGGTATCAACACGTCCGGTTGTGTCCGTCTTGCGATGAACAGCACTGTGTGTACTGGTGACGGGCGTGAGGAGCGCCTGAGTGGCAGAAGTGATGGTACACTCGTGCAGGTCAGCGATCTGCACACGGTGGCCTTGCTGACTGGGGGGCCACAAGCGCAACTCAAGGGAGCGGTCGTGGAAACAGCGGCAAACAAAGGCCAGGCAGTTGCCAGCCGTTTCTTGTGAAAAAAATCCACATGCCAGGTCCGGTGCGCAAGCAGCATGCTTCGAAAGGCCGGGCCCTGGGCTGCAACTGCAGCGGCGCCGCCTGCTGATTTGTGCTCTGCTCAGGGGTCGCAAAGAAGATGAAACCTATCTTGGATGACAAGGAAGGTTGGAAGCGTGCCCGAGCCCATGCTTGTCGGGTCTCTTCCTTGCCGATTCTGGCAGTGGTAGCCGCCATGGCTGCTAAGGACGTGGAGAATTCCGAGCTTTGGAAGAAATTTGGCTACGACCTCGGTCATAGCATGTCGCAGCGTGGCCGCGGGGCTAACCGTTCCGAAGCCGGTAAGACTGAGGCATCGGGACCTCTGCCGGCCGGTGCCTCCGTCAGATCTATTGCCCGCCGCGCGCTCGTTGTGCGCAGGGCAGCAAAGTACTGATCACCTGGGTCAAGGCGGTGGCTTGAGATGGCTTGAGTCTTGAGGTCGGAGGTGTCACAGCCCACACCGCCGTGCACCGGCGCGATGCTCTGACTACAACTGCGTAAAAATCTTCAGCCTGACCGGCTGGCACCGAGGCCTGCCCCATGTGCGGCGAAGCCCTGCCCACCTTCAGAAGTTCGCAGGACTTGCAGCCGGCACTTGCCTGTGAGCTTTGCCGCGCTTTGTGCACACACGAGAACCGTGACAGGTGCTGTTTATTGCTTTGTATTTGATCGGGCGTTTCCCTTCCGGCTTCAGTGACTCAGTGGCTTTACAGCAGGCTTCTTGATTTCAGAGTCGTCATTGCCATTTTCTTATTTCAGAAGTATAGTATATGCGCCGATGCATCATGTTTGCATGAAATCGTTGCCCTGTTGGTCATTACTATGAGCTGCTGTCCACAACATCTACCACTGCTGCTGGCGCCGCCACCGCCACCACCACCACCACCACCACCACTACCACCACCACCACGACTACTACTTCTGCCTTCTGCTACGACTACTGCTGCTACCTCCACTGCCACTGCCAATACTACTGCTACTGCTGCTACTATTACTACAATTACTTACTTACTTACTTACTTACTTCCTTACTTCCTTACTTCCTTACTT